GAGATGATATCTCATAGTTGTCTTGATTTGCATCTCTCTTAGAGTTAGGGATTTTGAACATTTCTTCATGTGCTTGTTGGCCATCTGAATGTCTTCCTTGGTGAAGGTCTGTTCATATCCTGTGCCCATTTTTTGACTGGATTATTTACCTTTATCTTGTGGTGCTCAAGTATTTTATAAATTCTAGGTATAAGTCCCTTATCTGGCATATCACTACCAAATACCTTTTCCCAGTCTTTGGCTTCCCTTTTTACGCTGTTGGAGAAGTTTTGGGATGTACATAGGGATTTGATTCTTAGAAGGTCCCATTCATCTATTTTTATCTTCTCCTGGTTGTAGGTTTTTCAGGATACTTGGAAGACTGTTTATGTTGTGGATTAGTACTACTAGAGTTCTTCCAAGCTTTTCTTTAATGACGTTTATAGTCCTTGGTTGTAGTCCTAGGTCCATGATCCACCTTGAGTTTGCTTTTGTATATGGAGTGAGGTGTAGATCTTGCTTAAGTCTTCTGCAGATAGTTTTCCAATTTTGCCAACACTGTTTGTTATAAAGGCTGTCGTTTCCTCACTTAGCTGATTTCATTTACTTGTCAAAAATCACTTAACCACAGGTAGATGGGCTGATTCCTGGGTTCTCAATTCTATTCCATTGATCTATATTTCTGTCATTGTACCAGTACCATGCTGTCTTTACCACGACAGTGTAGTAGGATTGTAAATCAGGGAGTGAGATTTCTCCTACCTTTTTTCTATTTTTAAGGAGTGCTTTGCTTATTCGGGGCTTCTTTGCATTCCAAATGAAACTGGAGATTGCCTTTTCCATCTCGTTGAAGAATGGAATTGGTATTTGTATTGAGATTGCATTAAACGTGTAAATTGCCTTTGGTAGTATTGCCATTTTCACAATATTGGGTCTTCCTATCCATGAGCAAGGGATATTCTTCCACTTCTCCAAGTCTCTTTTTGTTTCTTGTAATAATGTTTTATAATTTTCTTTGAAAAGATCCTTTGTGCTTCTGGTTAGATTTACTCCCAAATATTTTATCTTGTGGTTAGCTATTGTGAAGGGTATTGTTTTTCTTAGCTCCAGCTCTGTTTTCTCTTTGTCACTGTAGAGAAATCCAACTGATTTTTGTATGTTGATCTTGTATCCTGCTACTTTGCTGAATTGGTCAACTATGTCCAATAGTTTTCTTGCTGAGTCTTTAGGGCTTTCTAAGTATACTAACATATCATCTGCATAGAGAGATAATTTTACCACCTCTTTGCCAATTTGGATACCCCTTATGTCCTTCTCTTGTCTTATTGCTATTGCTAAGATTTCCAATACAATATTGAATAAGAGAGGTGAGAATGGGCTTCCTTGCCTAGTTCCTGTTCTTAAAGGGAATAGATTTTGGCGTTTTCTTGTTGAGATTCTCCCCTCACTTTCTGGTGATCATGATTACAATCCTGGACCCTGCATTTTGGTTCTTCTGGTCAGAAAGTCAGCGGATGTTCTGTCAGATTATTTCCAACCCATGTTCACACCCCAGCTATGTTTCAGGCTAAAGCTCAAAACTGGAAAACTTAAAACAAACAAAACAAAAACCTGAGAAACTTGCTACATTCTGGTAGTTTTTTCCGAGTGTTGATTCTCCTCCAAAACACCCCTGCTTTTTCTTCACTCTCTAGAGCATCAGATGGTTGCTTGTTGTTATTTTCTCCACAGTTTATATGTGTTATTTGTAGTATGATCGATTTATTAAAAACTTATTCCACTATACTGCAAATGTAACTCTTAAGGATGCTTATCTTAATGAGAACTTTTTTTAAAAGGAGCTTTAATGATACACAGTATTTGCATAATCATTTTTCTACGTATTTTCTAATTTCCATTTTGAATTCTTTCTGATGCATGAGTTATTTTTTGTGATGGTTTATTTCCTCACTGATTGCCTGCTTAAGTGTGTTTTAGTTGGGAAGTGCAGTGTGTACACAGTACAAACATTCCATGTGGTCAGCCCAACCCACACTAAACCTGCTGCCACGTGGTTGGTTCCAACTCACAGAAAGGTGGCCTTCTGGCTTTCTAAACCTGCTGCCACGTGGTTGGTTCCAACTCACAGAAAGGTGGCCTTTTGGGTTTCTAAAGCTTTATGTTATGGGAGAAGATGGCCTGTTTGGCTCCCCCAAAATAGCTGTGGCTCGTGGACTTTTCTGATAACAGCCTAACACATTGTGTGCCATGTTCCCAGGATTCTTCAGCATGTGGCTGTGTAGGTGATTTTTACTTGAGTTATTCAAATATCTTTTACTAATTATGTGCTTATTTTGCCATTTTCTGTGTTTTACTAAAATTGTCCATATGACTCTTGTTATGTGCTGTTGAGTTGCCTGCAACTCATAGCGACCCAATGGACAACAACTCTGATTTGCTCTATCCTGAGCCAATCTCACTGTCTGCAACTCACCTAACCCCATTACCCCAGTTACTATGTCAATCTATCTCATCCAGGGTCTTCCTCTCCTGTGCTTGTCCCTCCATCCTGCCAACCATGAAGTCCTTCTCCAAGGGACTGGCCCTTCCTGTGAGACGGAGCTTCAAAATCCTTATCTCCAAGAAGCAGGACAGAACTGTTTGTTCTTTTAGCAGTCCATGGTGTGTTCAATACTCTTCTCCAGCACCACAATTCAAAGGCATTGATTCTTCTTCTGTTATCCTTACTCATTGTCCAGCTGTCTGATGCATAGCCAGTAATTGTGAAAACTATGGTTTGAATCAGGCACACCTTATTCTCTAGACTGATATCATTGCTCTTTAGCACTCTAGAGAGTTATGGATTTTTACACTTTATCTTACTGTTTTACCCCAGTACAACTTTCCTCCCTCCTACTGCCTATATGCTGTTATCATGTAATAGATTTCTATATGTTTTAGGCTTAGTGATAATACAATGATTTATTGTATAAATATGCTACTTTATACAATTGCTGTTACATCAGATAGGAGGACATATAAATGTACTTTCTTCCCTTGAGCAGACTTAACACACTAATTGAAAATTAATTGACCATAGATTGTATTTGTTGTTAAGTGTCTCTGCCAAGTATCTCTGTCACACGTAAGCCCATTGCTGCAGTCACTGTGTTAAGCCATCTTCTAGAAGGTCTTTCTCTCTTTCCTTGACTCTCTACCTTTCCAAGCATGATGTCCTTTTGCAGAGAATAGCCTCTTCCACCAACATGCTCAAAGTATGTGAGACAAAGCTTCATCATCCTTTCCAACAAGGAGTACTTGGGCTGTACTTTTCCCAGACATATCTGTTTGTTCTTTTGGCAGTCCATGGGATATTCATACTCTTCTCTAACACTGCAGCTCAAAGGCATAAATTCTTCTGTCAACCTTACTCATTGTCCAGCTCTCAGATGCACAGCAGGTGATTGGAAAGAACATGACCTGAATCAGACACATCTTAGACTTCAAACTGACATAATTTCTCTTCAGTAATTTGGAGAGGTCTCCAACAGCAGACTAGCCTAATGCAATAAATACATCTCCTGATCTCCTGACTGCTGGTACCAAGGGTGTTGATTGAAGATCCAAATAAGATTAAATTGACACTTTCAATCTTTTATCTACCATGATGCTGCTTATCAATGAAGTGATGAGACTTTTTTTCTTCTTGATGTTGAGATGCAATCCAGTCTTTGATCTTCTGCAGTGTATGCTTCAAGTTCTCCTCACTTTCAACAAGCAAGGCTGTATACATATGGGAGGAGATTGTCCATCATTTCCCATTGGAGCCAATGATGGATTCTAACCTATCAGTTCTCAGGGCAACTTTCTAAAGGCTACACCGTCAGAGCTCACAGTTTCCTAAGCCCTTCCTTAACATTGTGTTGTTAGGTGACATTGAATCAGTTCCAACACATAAGCAACTTTATGTACGAGAGAGTAAAATGTTGTCTGGCCCTGAGCCCCTTCACCAAAGTAGTTATGTGTGGGCCCATTGTTGCAGGGACTGTCAGTCCATCTCTTTAACACACCCTCTGTTTTACTAAGTAACCTGTCTCTCTCCGTGGAGTGCTTCTTTCTGATAACATATCCAAAGTAAATGAGACAAAGTCTTATCACATTTGCTTTTAAGAAACGTCCTGGCTGTACTTGTTCTGAGATAACTTTGTTCACATGAGAATCCACTGTATATTCCTCTCCATCGAAGGCATCAATTCTTCTTTGGTTTTCCTTATTCATTGTGCAGCTTTCCGTGTTTATGAGGCAAATGAAAATACAGTTTGGGTGAGGGACACACCATTGCCATCAAATTGGCTTCTTTGTTCTTTTTTTTTTTTTAATTTTTTTTTGCTTCTTTGTTCTTGAACCCTTGAAAGAGGTTTTTAGTATTTGCTCAGGCATTATAAGAGAGGAAGACTCTCAACGAGATGGATTGACACAATGACTTTAAAATGGGTTTAAGTTTATCAGAGATGATGAGGATGATTCAGGTTAGGGCAGGGTTCAGTTTCGTGGCTCACAGGGTTGCTAGGAGTGGTTGACATGATGGGACCTGGCTGACAATGGTGACTGGGGTCATGGGAGCAGTGGCCAGAGACAGTGAGATTGCTCAGGATAGGACAGGGTTCAGAAATGTTGTGCATGAGGTTGCTGTGAGTAACAAGCACTTGTTACTTAAGTACATAATGACAACAATGCAAGCTCTTAGCTGATCTCTTGGTGGCTCCTCCTATGGATGTTGTAAGGTCGCTGAGGAAGGATAGAACCCAGTTCAGGCCAAGACAGACAGTTTATTGAGGAGAAACTGCTGGGCTGGCTCTTAAGCAGAAAACCAGTCCCCACTAAAAGTTAGAGAGGAGTTTTATATTCTCTTACAAGGAACTTGGGGAAGGGGATGCTCACAGATGTTTTTTATAAGATCGGGAAGTGGGCTGGGGTCTCAGATAACTATTTCTGGGAAAGGAGGTAAAGCAGTTTCACATCCTTGATGGAGAGAAACAGAACCACAGCTGCTGCTTCCTGTGACTGGATCATGTCAGTAGCCATTCTGAGAGAGGAAGGGAAGGGCTCTGCAGTCCTAATAGATGTTGCTTATGGGTCTAAATACAATGAGGCTCTTTAGAATCTCAGCCTTTTCTCCACAGTTGTGAGGATTTTTGTTTTATGTTGCAACTCAGGACTTGAATTTTTTCAGCTTAAGATTCCTGTGAATGGTAGCTGAGATACTTGTGCTGGGAGGAAGGTAGATGGATAGAAACCTTGGGTAAGATTCTGGCTGCTCCAGGTAACTGCTGTGAGGAAATCTCCAGAGTAAAGCAACTGTCCCCAGGTCTGCTCAAACGCAAACTCGGGTCTTCCAGTTAGAACTCACCATACCTGTCCCTCAGGAGTTTTCAAAGGCTGTAAGTCATGTGAGAAGAGGTCACACTCTCTCTTCCGCCCTCATGTCTGACCAGGAGGCAAGACCTTCATCTGAGGTCTTGTGGGATAAGAAAGGAGGGAAAGAAATCAAACTCAAAGTCTTGGACAGGATAACAGAGCAACTCAAGTCAAGGTGAAAACACATCTCAAGAAATTCAAAGACTTTTAGGATCAAAGACACACAGATACTCACCAGGGCTTTCCTCTGACAGGCAGAGATAATCAGAGGTGTTGCTGACAACCACTCTCCAGAACTGGGGACGGAGCAACATATTTTTTAAAAATTTTTCTTTTCCCTTAGTCATTTTTAAAAATAGGTTGGTTTGTTTTGGGGTGGAGTTTTGGGGGGAGGTTTTTTTGTAATATGGTATTCCAAATGAAATTGAAAACGAACCTTGCTTTAAAACATCTGTTATTTTGAAGCTAGTGAGTACAGAGTTAAAACTGCCATCCAATCCAAACGTGCCAAGTTTGAATCCACCAGCTGCTCAACAGGAGAAAGATGGACAATCTCCTCCCATTTGATTTATGGCCTCTGAAAACCTGCTGGATAATCAGCTATTAGTCAGTTCTGACTCCAAGTCATTGAGGTGAGTTAGTGTTCATTATTTATTATTATTTGCTTTCATTGTGCTAGTCTTTGGTGATCAAGCATCAGCCCCTTTTGTATTGTCCTCTTCTTAACAAGCTCTGGTAGCTTCATGGTAAGGAGTTGTGCTACAAACCTAAAGGTAATTGGTTCAAATCCACCCGCTTCTCCACAGGAGAAAGATGAATAATCTCCTTGCATGTGATTTACAGCCTCTGAAAACCTACTAGATGGTCACCTATGACTCAGTTCCAACTCGAAGGTACATAACAGCCACAACTACCTATGTGCACGGAGAAGTCACCAACCCAACTCCCTGAGGGCACAGATGAAGTCACCTTGCCCAGGACGTGCAGGCTCATGGAATAAAAAAGATCAGTTAATGCAAGTGTTCGTAATGACTTTCCAATTGGCCATGAAATTATGATTGCTTC